CAAAAGCTTTAGCAAACTGTTTGCTCGTTTGTTTCTTTAGTTTTTAACCGCTTTCGGTCAATTCGGATATAAAGAACACCTTTTCTTCAGTGATAAGCAAAAGCAGGTGAGTGGTTTTGCAATCTTAGCATAAGTTGTGACATTTTTGGTGAACTTTTATTAGCGTCGGTTATAACTAAAAGCAAGCCTGCCGCGTGCGGCAGCAAAAAATACTAAAGCCGTTATGGCGTCGTCGAGGGCGTCATCGGCTGACGAGTTCGAGGCTTTTGCGGGTGCCAATTTGGCCACGGGCAAAAGGCTTAGAAAGAGTGCGGAATCCCATCGTATTAAAAAAAAATGTTAAAATCCCAAGAGTTGTGTAAACTCAATTTTGACTCGGGTGTAATCAGTCAGGTTAGGGACGCGAAAGGAAGCGAAATAAATGAAATGACCGCAAGTAGAGACAGTGGTGGCGAACAGCGTTAGCACCAATGCTAACAATGACACAACACTGTACCCAGCAAACTTTTCTGGTGTGTATCTTGTACTAGTAGACTCGTCACAATGTAGTGACATGAATAATGATAGGATCACTAACGGCTTAACTCTCTTTAATAAAATCAAAGTTTTCAGGGTCAAAGACATTGACTTAATCTATGCCATTGGAAAAAGTCTCTATAAAATAACGTTTAAAAACGCAGCTTCAGCTAACAACTTTGTACTCATTGACAAAGTCAAAGCTCTAGGTTTAAGAGCTTTTGTACCAAAGACGGCAGTTGAGACGTACGGAGTAGTGAGGGACATTCCGACGTGGTATGAGGAAGCAGAGATTAAGGTTGCAGAGAGAGTGGAAGCGAAGCCGAAGATGAAGATGAAGACGACGCCGAAGACGAAAAACAGTGCAGTAGTAAACATGTGAAAGTGATCACAGTGCAAACGAAGACGAAGGCGAACATGAAGACGTTGCGCAAGCAGTCAGCTTGAAACTGTGCGGTACTGTTTTCAAAGACGAATCGCCTGCTGTGATGAGTTGTTTACAATTTATTTAACTGTTTTCAATTGTGAAAAAACGCGTTTTTTAAGAAATTCGCAAAATTTTTTGGCACAATGTAATCAAACGTATTAATTGGCATACTTGTGTATTCGAAAAATGTCTGTCCGTCTTGCCGTAACACATAATACAAGTGGCGAAATTCTCCAAAAGTTGTCCTATACAAATTATTTCATGAATAGCTGTTTTTTCTTTATTTTCTTTAGATTTTATATAAAAAAAAGGTTTTATTTAGAAACAAATCTTCATATCATTCATCTTCCACTATGAACACTCGCCAGCTTGGCCGCAACGCAAACAATTCGGCTTCGGATCCGTCTTCATCTTCGACTTCGCTTCCACTCTGTCTGCAACCTTCGGCTAATGCCATCTCTACCGTCCCCATCGCCACAGTCAGGCGCTTCACGCGCAAAAGTCAAGACAGTGACTCATATACGCCAACAACAACCATAAAAATCGGTTTCTCGGGTAAAGAAATCCCGAAATTCATAATTTTCGACTACACTAAATTATATGTTGACTTCTACGTTCCGCCCCTAAGGCAATGCCTCAACTGTGGCAGGTTGGGCCATACACAATATGCCTGCAAGTCCAAGAAGCGCTGCATTAAGTGCGGTCTCAGCACATATGACGAAAACTCGTGCAACAAAAAATGTATTCTATGTGGCAGTTCAGACCACGTCTCCACAGATAAGCTCACTTGCGCGGCTTGGGAAAAAGAGCGCACCATTAACCACATTAGAACTGTTAAGACCATTTCAAGACGTGAAACAATTAAAACATACTTTGCGGCCAGTGAAAATCGTTTTGATCTTCCCGTGGAGGATTCAGACTTTCCGCCGCTCCCGGCTGAAAATGAAAATCTCCAGAACAGAGACGCAAACGTTAACAAAAAACTTGCTAAGCAAAAGTATAGCTCTATGGCACGTAGCCGCAATCCCAGAAATCACAAAGCAGTCCCAATGCAGCCAGCCACTAGGGAAAGTAGGGTAAGACCACCCAGAGTTTCTGTGCTTGAGAGGCCAGAATACTTGAAAGGAAGGGTAACTGAAATGAAAAAACTTTTGTCAGAATTATTCAAGATAATTAACAGCGCATGTGCCAATGAGCTCATGCAAGGAGTTCTAGGGAAGGTTCAATTCCTAAAGCAACAATTTGAGCGTAATTTGACACAGAACGAGGTTGACTTGATCAATATGGGTACAGACATCCCCCCTCAAATATAACATATGAAGATTTGTCAGTACAACTGTCAATCACTAAAAGCCAACATTAACACATTTGAATGCTATTTGAACCATTATAACTGTGACATTGCATGTCTCAGTGAAGTTTTTACCGCCAACGAACAACAACATAGAAATATTATCAACTACAACATTATAGAAAAAACCGTGATGATGGATATGGCGGCGCCGCCATAGTCCTTAAAAAACAAATCACATTTCAAAAATTAAATTTCTTGTCCAACTTTGACATACTGATTATTAAAACTAAAAACCTTAATCCGAACTTAATAATCTGTGCAGTATACTTCCCACAGAACATTCTAATAAATGACTTTAAGTGCGAAATCCATAGAATTCTTAGATATCTTGAGCAGTTCAGTAATGTCCTTATCCTGGGAGACTTTAATGCTAGGGCGAGAGCTTGGGGTTCAATCCTGTAGAGGAAACAACCTACATAAAATTATTTTAGAATATAGTTTTTGGCATTTAAATGACGGTTCACTGACATTCAAAAATGACACACTGGCGCCAAATGGATCAGTGCTTGACCTGTCATTTACGAATAGTAACATTCCATTTGTCTGGAAGGTCGATCAAATCAGGCTAGGAGGATGTCACCATTTCCCCATTCTTATTGAGTCCACCGCGGTCATGCACCAGGGACGCAGGTTTCTCTCTCAAAAAAAGCTATTGCCAATCTACAACAAACCAATTTTGATCCTAATTTTGATGATATACATACATAATCATTTCCGAACAGAAATTGAGGCTGCCACGTATACGCTCAGCGCAAACAGAACCCCGAAAGCTTGGTGGGATGAGTCTTTCGACAAAGCCTTCCGCTTTCTAAAAACTGCGTCTAATAAGTGCAAGGCTGTGCCATCACCCGAAAATTTTGAAGAACTGATCAAGCTCAAAGCAGAGTGGAAAGATAAAGTTAAAATAGCAAAAAAGAAAAGTTTTGAAAGCAAGATAGACGAACTGAACGATGCTCCCTCAACTAGAAGTGCATGGAAATTTGTCAAAGCACTAAGAGGCGACTTTAAAAACACAAACAATTCTCAATGGTCCAGTGACAACGATAAAATCTTCTTAACCCTTATAAAAAGCCAAGTCCCCTCTTACAACTGTCATCTACCAATTGATATTCACCTTTGATGAGCTGCATAAGAACATACACTCCAAAAGTAATAGTTCAGCCGGAGGGGTAGACCTAGTTACTTACAAAATGTTAAAAGCTCTACCAGATGTCTCACTTAACAATTTACGAAGGGCTTTAAACATGCCTTCCTGACAAATCCGATCCCAAAAGAGTGGCGCACCATTAAAGTAGTACCCATCCCTAAAAAAGATAAAGACGTCAGTGATTACTGTAATTTCCGGCCGATAGCCCTCATATCAGTCTTTCTGAAGAGTATTAACCTATGTATAAAAGATAGAATATCCAACTACCTTGAGGAAAATGACATAATTCCTAAACGTTCCTTTGCGTATAGACCGCATAAATCAGCTACAATATGCATCAACTACATATTACATGAGACTGCAGTCCTCAAGAGACGACGCAAAAAAGTAATCATTTGTGTTTCAGACATCAGTAATGCGTACAACTGTGTTAATATCAGTAAGCTTAGGGACATCATGGTACAAACAGACATTCATAACACGTACACTGAATGGATTACCAACTTCCTTTCATTTAGAAAGCTTCAACTCGGCAAAGAAACCATAGAAATCCATGACGACCTTCCTCAAGGTAGTTGTCTCTCACCATGTCTTTTTAACTTATACACCAAGAACCTTCACAGTATCCAGGACTCAAACACTAAAATATACCAGTTTGCGGATGATTTTCTCATCATGTCATTCCATGACAGTCTTGAGCAGGCAACTGCGAATTTGAGTCGCAAACTAAATGACTTCGCTTCTCAATGTTCTACCCTCAACCTCTCCTTCAACGCGGACATAACTAAACTGATGTTTTTATGCAGAGCCAAGCGCACGATTATTGACATTCAACGTCACAACCGTACAATTGAACAGGTACACACTATTAAGTTTCTTGGAAGGCACATAAGTGCTTATTTGGCTGTTCAAGCGCATTACAACGATACAATTCGAAAATCTTGCAGAAACGCCAACCTGTTTAAATGCATCACCACAATCAAAGCAGGATTACATCCCCAAGTCGCACTCAAATCTGTTGTCAGGAGTAAAATTGAATACTGCAGGGTCATTCACTTCACACTGTTCGAAAACCGTTAATAAAAAAAATCAAACTTTTCAAAATAGTTTTTTAAGGAGAAGTCTGTGTCTTACTCTAGCCACTCCAATACCTTTAATCTATGCGCTGTCGAACGAACTACCTCCGGCTGGAAGTGCAATGTGGCTTACTGCCAAAGAACTAATAAACAGTTTTTACTGCGATTATTCCTTTAGAGAGCTCATATACAACTCGCCCAGAGTTGACTCATGCTACAGTGCTGTTTTTAACGAATTTAAACACATTTTTGACGACCTTCATATCGTCAGTGAGTCGGCTAAGCCACCGAACCTACATATAATTACAAAGACTTTGAATGACAAAAAGACCAACCTAGCAAGTGAGGTCATCAAAGCCACGTACACATCTATTTTAAATGACTATAAGAAATCTAACTTTTGCCTTTTCTACACCGACGCCTCTGTTGGACCTCTTTCCACTGGCTGCGGAGTTTTCAACTATACGGACAAACGTGAGTACACATTTAAAATAAATGTGGCGGCATTTGTATTTTCGCAAACTTTGTGGCAATAATTTCACTTTCGCGAATTAGTGCAACCCTGCGCTAATTTCCGAGTTGTAAAATAAAACTCAATCTGGCATCACTAAAATTGTTCATCTTCCTTTTTTTCTTTCTGGATGTCATCGAATTTAGACGAGCTTGCCGAGATATCAACGAAAACTATTAACCTGTAATTATCTTGTAAAAGACTAAATAATCTTTTAAGTTATAAAGCATTTTAAATATTATTCGGTTGTTTGATTTATTTGAACGAGTTCTTTGTGAGGTAAACTCAATACAAAACCCTAAACTCGTGACCCCGACGTGATCGGCAAGCACGTGCACACAAGCAGCCATTTTGAGGTAAGAGTAACATGGTGGACAACGTTTTGCCACCAGGAGCATCTCAAACTCCTTCGCCTAAACCTGAAGAAACAATGGCACCGCCTAACTCCATTGCCGTAGTATATGCCAGACTTCCAATACCACCGATGGCAAGCACCAACATAGAGGCCTGGTTTACCTCTATGGAATTTTGGTTCACCGCTTCGGGCATTACGGCTGATAAGCAGAAAACGGCAACAGTGTTAGCAGCTCTCGACCCAAACGTCCTAAGTCAACTGGGCGACGTCATTGCAGCGCTGCCACAAAACGACAGTTTCGACTACGTTAAGCAAAAAATAATCGAGCATTTTGCCGATAGCGAACAGCGGCGACTCAACCGGGTACTCTCGGAGCTACCTCTTGGCGACAAGAAGCCGTCCGAGCTTTTCTTCGAGATGAGGCGCGTCGCAGGCAATACTCTTGGTGATGCTGCTCTCAAAAGCCTCTGGATTAAGCGTTTACCAGAGTTCGCGCAGCCAGTAGTAGCAGCTTCGTCTGGCTCAGCCGCGGAGTACACGAAGATAGCCGACACCATAATAGACGCCATCGCACCTCAGCAGCTCAATCGCGTTAAGTCAACACCCTCCAGCGAGATTCATGAATTACGCGCTGTTGTTATGGAACTTGGCAAAAAATTCGACAAGCTCACAACTCGCTCACGCTCGCAAAGTCGTAGGCGAACAAACATACGACAGAATTCAAACGCTCGCGACAGCTCTAAAGGGGTTACATCATCGCGAGAATCATCTTCAGTCCGGGACTGTTGGTATCATCTAAAATACGGCCGAGATGCTAAGAAATGCCGCAGTCCTTGCCGCCAGAGCAAACGTGCTCTTCGAGCGGTATCGTCCGAACCATCATGACTGTTGAAGCGCGTGGCGGATTGCAACGAGTATCCCGTCACAGAGCGCAAAGTACTTCGTCTGCAGGTGCACGAACGACATACAGGCAAAACATTTCTCGTCGACACTGGTGCCGACGTGTCGGTGCTACCCATCACTGCAAAGCCCTATGACATGCGACCAACCGCAACAAAACTACGCTGCCAATGGTTCCGCCATCAAAGTCGTCGGAGAGAAACGAATCAACTTGGACTTGGGCCTTCGTCGGGATTTCTCGTGGTCCTTCATAGTTGCCGATGTCACAACCCCGATAATCGGCGCGGACTTTATTCGCTTTTACGATTTGCTTATCGACTTGCGTCGTAACCGAATCATCGACAACCTCACGAAACTTCGATCATCTTTGACTGCGCCAACGCTATGCAAGGCAACCCAAATCAAAACATTCGACTCCACCGACCCGTTCGCCGATCGGCTGTCCGAGTCTTCGGAGATCACGAAGCTGGCGCCTCATGGTTCCCTGACAAAATCGACGGTCGTCCACCGCATTTTAACAACGGGCCAGCCAGTGTTTTCTAGACCACGACGTCTTGCGCCCGAGAAACTGACAGCTGCACGTAACGAGTTCAACTTTTTACTTAAGGCGGGCATATGTCGACCGTCCAGCAGCAACTGGTCAAGCCCGTTGCATATGGTGACGAAAAGCGATGGCACCTGGAGGCCATGCGGGGACTACCGCGCACTCAATGCGCAAACGTTGCCTGACCGATACCCCTTGCCGTATCTAACCGACTTCACGGCGAATTTACAAGGCAAGACAGTGTTTTCAAAAATCGACCTCCAACGTGCGTTCCACCAAGTACCCATCCACGAGGATGATATAGCTAAAACGGCAATCACGACGCCATTCGGGATGTTCGAGTTTAGGTTTATGACCTTCGGCCTCTGCAACGCTGCGCAGACATTTCAAAGGCTCATAAATGAAGTTTTGCGGGGCCTAGATCATACGTTTCCCTATATCGATGATATTTGTATCGCTTCGCCGTCGGTCGAGCAGCACAAGCAAGATTTACGCGAAGTTTTCAAGCGCCTCCGGGACAATAATCTGGCAATAAACGTTTCCAAATGCGAGTTTGGTAAGAGCGAGTTGAAGTTTTTGGGGCACCTGGTCGACGCTAGAGGCATACGTCCTCTACCTGAGAGGATAGCAGCGATTCGCGATTTTCCGAAGCCCACAGTAGCAAAAGAACTGAAGAGCTTCATCGCCATGGTAAACTTCTACCGAAAATTCCTACCGAACGCTATCGAGTACCAGTCACACCTTCAACAGCTAATTACGGGCAATAAGAAGAACGACCGTACAATTGTCGTGTGGAACAGTGAAGCCGAAGACGCCTTCGACCGTTGCAAATCAGAACTGGCGAAAGCAACATTACTCGTGCATCCGTCACCCGGCGCTGAGTTAGCCTTATACGTCGACGCTTCGGGCACCGCTGTCGGAGCCGCATTGCACCAACTCCAAGGTGGAGAACTTCAGCCACTCGGCTTTTATTCGAAGAAGCTGACCAGCGCGCAACGTAAATATAGTACGTACGACCGTGAGCTGACCGCGGCATACCAAGGCGTATGTCACTTTCGGTACATGATCGAGGGCCGAAAATGCCATGTTGTCACCGACCATCGCCCGCTAGTATACGCCTTTCGCCAAAAGCTAGAAAAAGCTTCACCTCGTCGTGTAAGGCAGTTGGATTTCATCGGTCAATTCACGACCGATATTCGACACGTACCCGGTGCAGAAAATTCCACAGCAGACCTGCTCTCTCGAATGCAAGCAATCGAACAAATTATTGACTACGTTAAGGTCGCAGCCGCGCAGCAAGCTGACACTCATCTACAAGCACTCCTAAGCGAATCAGGTACGCGAAGTAATTCACTTTTACTAAAGTATTTTGATATCCCCAACAGTATGGCGAAACTAGTATGCGATACTTCAACCTCGAACATTCGGCCGTACATACCCCATGAGTTTCGCAGATTACTGCTAGCAAAGATTCACGGTTTGTCGCATCCAGGCGTTCGTGCAACAGTCAACCTCATGACGCAAAGGTTTGTTTGGCCCGGAATGAAGAGGGAGACAGCAAAATTCGTGCGGAACTGTCAGGAATGCCAACGGTCAAAAGTCCACCGACACACTGCATCTGCTCCAGCGACCTACGAACCGCCAACCCAACGTTTTGCGCACATTCATATCGATATTGTTGGCCCGTTCCCGCTGTGCGAAGGACAGCGCTATTGCCTAACAATGATCGACCGGTTCACCCGCTGGCCAGAGGCAGCGCCGATGCCTGATATGTCCGCCGAATCCGTTGCCAAAGCGCTTTTATCTCATTGGATTTCGCGATTTGGCGTTCCAACACGAATTACGTCAGACCAGGGCCGACAATTCGACTCCGCCCTATTCGCCGAGTTGTTGAACACGATTGGCACTGTTCACCTCCGAACAACCCCTTACCACCCACAGGCAAACGGCATTTTAGAAAGGTGGCACCGAAGTTTTAAAGCTGCTATCATGTGCCACGACCCGAACAAGTGGGTACATCATTTGCCAACGATCCTCCTCGGTCTTCGTGCAGCTTACAAACCCGACATTCACGCCAGCCCTGCTACGCTCGTTTATGGTTCAACGCTACGACTCCCAGGCGAATTTTTTCAGTCAACAAAGGCGAGAGCAGTAACACAGGAGATGGTATCTCAGTTCCGGTCGCTAATGCAGAAACTTCGCCCTACAAAAACCGCACATCATACGACGCCTAAAGTTTTCGTGTCACCAGCATTGCATTCTGCATCTCATGTCTTCGTGCGAAACGACTCAATTCGTCCTTCACTGACACATCCTTACGACGGGCCTTACCCCGTTGTTAAGAGATCGCCTAAGTTTTTTAAACTTTTGATACGAGGGCGATGCAGCAACATAAGCATCGATCGGCTAAAGCCTGCGTTCTTAGCCAGCGACGACTACGAAGATTCGAGCCATGTTCCCCAATCAGTAGAGCCAACGGATACACCAGCACCTATTCCGACAACGAGCCACATTCCTCAGGAAGACGAGCCAATGAATACACCACCTCCTATATCGACGAAATCTACGCGTTCTGGAAGGCATGTTAACTTTCCCCTACGATATCGGTAGTTTCGTCTAGGAGGGGAGTAATGTGGCGGCATTTGTATTTTCGCAAACTTTGTGGCAATAATTTCACTTTCGCGAATTAGTGCAACCCTGCGCTAATTTCCGAGTTGTAAAATAAAACTCAATCTGGCATCACTAAAATTGTTCATCTTCCTTTTTTTCTTTCTGGATGTCATCGAATTTAGACGTGCTTGCCGAGATATCAACGAAAACTATTAACCTGTAATTATCTTGTAAAAGACTAAATAATCTTTTAAGTTATAAAGCATTTTAAATATTATTCGGTTGTTTGATTTATTTGAACGAGTTCTTTGTGAGGTAAACTCAATACAAAACCCTAAATAAACTTTTGCGCGTCTTCAACCTATGGCGAATTAATTGCCATTGTTAAAGCTCTACAAATTGCCAAAGAAACTAACTATAATAAGATTCTAATATTCACAGACAGTCTATCCGCTTGCAAACTTCTTGCCAAAGACAAGACCAACAACCACCTGATTGTCGAATGCCACAAATTAATCCAAGAAGCGGACTTTTACAACGTTACGATCATTTGGACCCCTAGTCATGTCGGGATCTCGGGCACCGAGATGGCCGACTCTTTAGCAAAAACTGCCGTCAACTGTGATAATACCCTAGAAGTTAAGCTTACGATAGAAGAGGCGTTAACAAGCATACGCAACTCTATTCATAACAAATGGTATGACTTTCTCGCCTTCTCCAATAACAGACACAATCTTTTTGCACAGATCTGCACTCAGAAACTGAAAAAGACATGGTTTTTCAAATTTAAAATCAACCCAAAAGAAATCAAAATTTTAAACCGTATCCTAACTGGATACACCTACCATAACGAATACCTTTACCGTACAACGCGGTAAACTCTAACACTTGCAGATGTGGCTCGACTGATAACTACGTTCATCAGACTTTCTACTGCAACTTGCTGGCCGAGGATCGTGAGGGCTTCAAACTCGTACTTAGCAACGCTGATTTCACCGAGATTTTTCGTAACTTTGACTATTGCAAGATCGCTCAGCTTGCTGATTTTTAACCAAAATTGAAGCCAAATTTTAATTTATAAGCTTTAAATCCAAAATCGTCTTATCACAGGTGTTAATACCGTCCACCTCACTCATTTTCCACATTCAATTCTCATCACCACCATAAATTGCTCACAAATAAAATAAGCATCATATAAGCCCGCCAAATCATCACATCCGACGTTAGGTTCCTGCAACCTCCTCGAAGCTGCGCTGTGAACGTGACTTACACAATCATCTCCATCGCATGGAAATTTAGGAACTTTCTGGCTTAATCAAGGAACAGGCCTTCATTGCGCTAAACTTATCTACACCGCTGTTAATAAGCCGTTCAATTTAATGAAGTATTTGCACATGCTCATTATGTGCCACTCTGCATACTACGCTTTTTCAAGTTACACTTTCGTGTAACATTCTGCTGTATTGGGTTTGGGCAACCGCCAATCAACCCAAAGTGCAAAAAAAATAAATAAACATTAACAGGTCTATTCTGCGCTGGTAATAAAAAGTTTGTAACCGGTAAATAAAGTTCCTGTCAATTTTTAAACCCTTTTCGCATTCTGTATACTCTTGTAACCGGTAAATTTTGTTACCATCTCATAAGCTGGTAACAAATTATTGCCCCGTGAAATATGCAATGCCAGGATTTGCACAATTCTTCATAGCTGAATTGCTGAATATTTTAACTGCATTAGCAACGTACCTAGAATCGCGGTGACAAGAACTGGTAACATCTTTTGGTAATAAAATTTTCCGGTTACAAAATCTTCGGTAACGTGCAGAATAGACCTGTAAAGCGCGTTTTAAGTAAAGACTAAAAGGATTGGAAAGGCCATTTCTATAAGTGGTGTCATGAAGTGGCATAAAATCCACTCCTGTGAGTTTGCAAGACATTAAAATAAACTGTAACTACGCAAATATGCGTTTGTACATGTTACACATATGTGTTTTGTGCGT